ATTAATATAAGTCATAAATTAATTGGTATTAATTTGGTGACTTAAAGAGATTAATTAAATAAGAGGGTATAAACTGTCAATTGTTTGATAGTTAGACTTTAGACTATAAATCCATTAGGATGACTTGGACGGATTCTAAGAGCTTTAGGATAGCTCAAAATCGTCCATAAGGATATCTATGGAATGGATTTGGATAGCCTTAAGAGAAGATTATCCAATTAGGGTTTAGGGTGAAACCCTTAAGGAGTCTACAAGTATAAATAGACCCTATGGGTGAGGGAATTCGACACACAACCTTAAGCAAGGATACTCTGGCCGAATTCCTCCCCTCTCCTCTCTCCTAAATCATCTTGCTTGCTATTGGTGTTTGTAAGCCATTAGAGGAGTGACATTTGTGACTCTAGAAGCTCCAAGACAAACAAGATCAACAAGGGATTCAAAGGTATGATTCTAGATATGTTTCATCATTGTTATTTAGCCTAATTAGCTATTAGAAGTCTTGGATTCAAAAGCATGTTTATTAGAAAGCCTAGATCCAAGCAATAGGGTTTTGCATGCGCACATAGGAAAGTTCTTATGGCTAAAACCCAACAGAAACTATAAACGATCAGTTCACCACGAACCCTTTTTGTATCTTAACTGAACGAATCTTAATACATATTATAGTAAAAATATAGAGTTATTTCAATTACAATAAGATGTGAAATGGTAACTTATCTCCAACTATGGAAAATCTTGAATGAATCTTAAAGCACAAACCGTAACACTAGTTAACGTCTGAAAAACTAAAATTTTAAATTAATCATATGTGAACAAAGAAAATATTCTAAACTCATTGTATATGCCACCCCCGATCTGGAATATATAAAGAACATCCAAAATGGAAATCATATGAGAAAGTTATGCATGTTTTAAATTTTTAAGCAGATATATACCTGATTTTATCTGGTACCAAACACTACGAAGCTCAGTTTAAAGTAGCTAAACATCTCGTAAATAAATTTTGAACATGTTTCTAAACTCATGCTTCGACCTAGTATTCAATGTTACTATCCCAATATTTTTTATCCTGAACCGAAATAAGATTCGTGAAAACTGGCGAATTCAAACCTGATTGAAGCGAAACTTCGAACACTTTTTGATGGAAATCTGTATATCACATTTAAATTCTATTTGAATATTTGAAATCATCACACCAATGACATTATCTAAACACTTTCGAAATATTTTTACAAGCCCGAAAACCGACATCACGTAAAACGAGGGAGTTTGTGAGTGGGACAAATCAATGAGAGACAAAAAAAAAAACTTGCATGCATGCCTAATACAAAAAAAGAGGGAGTCAGTTTGACCGTTGAATAGTCAACATCTAATCCCTTTCCACCCTCTCTCTATGACAATCTCTCCCTCTTTACCCCTATGTCTCTCTTTTGAACTATCAACCCCTCATCCATTCAATTGTTATCCTGGATAAATTAAAGAAGAAGTTCATCGACTACCATCTCCAACCACCAAATGTCACCATCAATCCACCCACTGCTTCCCCCTCCCTTATTGGTACAGAACACCATTACGAACCCACTGCCATCGCCATTCCATCCTCCCATTTTTTGAGATACATTTTCGTCCCTCCTCTCCTCTTTTAGTGTGTAGTCGGATGATAAGATCACAAAGCATCAAAGTTGCCGCCTACTGCTATTGATGATGACAACCACCGCTATGATCATACTCCACCTTCTCCTATCGTAACCTACCACCACCGAACATCCCAACATCATTTTTTCCCTCTATTTCTACCCCATAGTCATCGCCTAGCAAAGGAGAAAACGATTGTTGATAGGAGTGTCGGATGTCGCCTTGTCACCATCTTGTTGTCTTTCCTGTAGTTGTGAAACTGATCTGACTAGTCACCACCTAGACCACTGCCAATCACCCGCATTGCCACTGTGATTTCCGACCCCCACTATCACATTTTTTGTTTCCTTTGTTTTAAATCATTCGAGATCAACGTGAACCAGTTATGGGTGTGTTTTTTTTCCATTATGAGCTGAAGGAGATGGATAATGTGCAAAGATGATTTGATTGAACACCACACTGATGGGTCTCATTTAATGCTTACAATGGATTTCTCGAATGCCCTTAACCTGGTGGATAGATCAACGTTGCTCCACGAGGTTAGGAGGATATACCCTTCTATTTCTTTGTGGGTGAATTTCTTACACGAACAAGCAACAGAACTTAATATAAGATACCAATATATATGGTATGCTACTCGATTGCAGCAAGGAGACCCCTTGGGCCTCTTCTTGTTGCCCTTGTTTTGCACCTGCTTGTGCATAAGACTAGAAACAGTTGCAATCTCATTCTCCATACTTGGTATCTTGATGATGGGACTGTTATTGGGGATTCAGAGGAAATGGCTAGATTGTTGAACATTATTCGGGTGAATGGTCCAGGCTTGGTTCTGGAGTTGAACATTAAGAAAACAGAGTTTTTTTTGTCCTTCATGTGATGATAGGAAGCTTCATGCCAATTTATTCCAAACAGATATATGGAGACCGTCTTTGGAGGTGAAGCTCCTGAGGGGGGCGGGGGTTGTTAGCAGAGATGCAAGGTTTATTAGCGGACTGACCATTAAGAGAGCGGTCGATGTTGTTGATTGGATGGGTCTTCTTCCACAACTATGTGACCCGTAGAGTGAGATGCTTTTGCATCGATCATGTATGGGTATTCCGAAACCTTTCTTTGGTTTAAGTACATGCCAACTGGTGCCCAAACTATAAGTATTACCTAATCGGTCTCTGTAATTTTGATCATTCTCTTTTGATCACTAAATTCATTCTAAATTAATTCTTGATTAATACCAATTAAATAATAATATATTATTCATATAATATATTAATAAATTACAAATAACCTCTTTCTCAAATATCCATCCTATCAAATTGCTCTGGTGAAGGCAATCCAAAATGATCATGCTACTATCGGGTCAAGTACATACCAATTATAGTTATGGGCTTAGACACCTAATCCAACAGGTGCCACCTGAAAATAAGCTGTAAATGCTACAGCTAACAATCCAAATCTGATTTTTTTTTTCTTCCTTTCAAGAGCAATTACAATGACAATGTTATCACATGGTCAATCATTTATTTTAGTTGCAACATACAAAAAATTGAATATTCTTACTGAATACACTATATAATTAATGCCAGATTAGCAAAACCACCACTTGGAATATGAACAATAAGTATCATTCGTTATCCAATGCTTCAATCTTTTATTCATTTAACAACATTTTTATAGATTCAACTTCAATGCATCTACATAGAAATATGGTAATTTAGCTTATATAATAGTTTATTAAAAGTAGATTACACAATTAAATAACTTAAATTCATGTAATGTAACTTATTCCATTGATAAATTATTAAAAAAACGGCTTTAAATTTATACCATTTCCTACTGAGAATGATCTTTTCACGACTAGGGAACTTCAACTTAGGGATCAATTTCAGTTCGAAGTTGCAGAAAAAGAAAGTAGAAATTAGATATTAAATTTTCACTTGAAGCCCTAACTCAAAATTTGATTTCAAATCAGCGACCATATAACTTCATAGTTGAAAAAGATTAATTTATGTTCGATAAAATCGGATTGACTAACCTCTTTGATGTTGTAGAGAAGCACATCGAAACATGATTTACCAAATCGAGCAATAAACCGATTGTTAATGATGAACAATACCCGACTATAAATCGGTCTTGTTCATTCTACATAGATAAGAGGCATAGTCGCAATGATGCACAGTAAGGAATTGGGAGGTAAGAGGGAGGTGGTGATGAGCACAGAAGATGTACATGAGAAATATAGTAGTTAGAGACGCTCTGATTGCAAGTTGATGAAGATGACTCTAAAAACCATCGATGAAAGATAATGTTATTCATAGCGATTAAAGAGAGAAGGCGGAGGAGGAAGCAAGCGGTGTAGACATCGATTAGAGGCAGGGACGGTTTTACTTGGTGTCCCGGTGTGGCACCGACAACACCTAGTTTTCTCGTACGCAATAGAAAACATTTCGATTTTTTGGTTTTTTGCCTATTTTTCATGCACCGACAATACCTCTTCAACCGCGGCAACACCTACTTGTATTTCAGCGTCCGTCCTTGATTAGAGGATGGAAGAATCGAGAACTAAAAGTGTTAACTCTTAGGCGGTGAAGGAATAAGGGAAATAAGAAGCGGGGGACACCAATTCAATTCCTATTGGCTTAGACAGCCGGTGCCATTAGAATTGGACCCGGTGGGAATGAGCTAGCAAAATTAAAAAAAAAATATTGAGTTTGGTCCAATAGAAAAAGAGTACTTGTAATCCACTATAGAAGATAAAAACAGATAAATAATAAAAAGCAAAGCATAAAAAGAAAAAAAAAAAAAAGTCAATCACAGTGAAGTTCTATTCACAAATATATCTCTAAATTAATCCCTATACTAATAAAAAAATAGTCATTTTGTCATGTATCACTATATTAGATCTCTTAATTAATATGATGCTAATTATCAATCTATTAGTTCACTGTTTTAAATTTATTAGACCACCTAATTAATGTGATTTATTTGTCAATGTATTTATTCTCTATTTTAATTGTTAAATTTTATATTATTGTTTTCATTAATTCACAAATAAAAAATATTTAATATATATTAAAAATTAATTATATATATTTATTTGAATCAACGATTATAATTTCACATAACTAATAAAAATATATTGTAATTAATAATTTATTTAAAATAATTAATAATAATTTTGAGATTTTATTATAAAAGTTTAATTAATTTTATAACCGTGGTTTCCACGGGTTATAAACTAATATATATATATATATATATATAGTCCTAAATATATATATTGTAATTAATAATTTATTTAAACTAATATATATATATATATATATAGTCCTAAATATGATTTTTGTAATTTTATTCAACAGATATATAATATGAAGAGAAAAATAAAGACAGAGGAGTGAAGTTGAAGTCTCTCTCCCTCTCTCCACCTACTTTTAAGATGAGACAATAATCTCTTACTTTTTTCTCCTTGTCTTAGTTTCAACTCCTTTCTCTTTAATTTCTCCATCTTTTCTCCTTCACAATACAATCGCACACCACCCTCATCAATGGAGTTCGACCTCCAAAACCCTCTATCTCAAGACCTTCAACAATCTATTTTTGAAATGGAATCGGATCACCTTCCATTGTTGAATTCAGATCTTGACTCCGATCATCATCTCCGGCGACAAATCATCAACCTTATCTCGATTTTCTCTGAGAAACTCAATCATCCATTTGTCTCCTACCTTGCCATTAATTACTTCCATCGTTTCCATGCTGTCCACTCCATTCCGGTGATGATCGACATAAGTTCTTCACACGTTTAGATGAGATTTGTAAGTTTTCCTAACGAATAGCTCATGTGTTTTGTAGGGAGACAAGCCATGGATCTTGAAGCTTGTTGCAGTTTCTTGTGTTTCATTAGCATTTAAGATGATAGGAGGAGATTCTGGAGTTCAGGTAATTGTTTTTTCTTGTTTAATCTTCATACAGATTTGATTTTTGATGTGGGATTTTAATATTTTTCATGATTGTTTGTTTGGATTTTCAGAAAGATGGCGCATTGATGTTTGATATTGGGATAGTAGAGAGGATGGAGTTTATGATACTCGGAGCTCTTCAATGGCGAATGCGTTCGATTACTCCTTTTGCTTTCATCAAATTCTTCGTCTCTTTCTTCAAACTCCGAATGACGTCGTTCGATGATGATGATAATGCTAATGATGATGATCAGTATCATCATAATCATCATCATCAAGCCCTTAAAGATCGAGCCACTGAAATCATCTTCAAAGCTCAGATTGGTAAACAAAGATCGAATCTTTTTTCACCACCATTTCGAATTAATTAAATTAAACTCACTGTCTCGAAATCATTGCATGAATGCAGACTTAAAGCTTTTGGGTTTCAAGCCATCGCTCATCGCAGCATCTGCTCTTCTATGTGCTTCTCATGAACTCTACCCATTCCAATTCCCATACTTCAAGAACTCAATTTCAAGCTGTTCATATGTAAATAAGGTAAAATAAACAAACGACAATTCATAACACTCAAATTTTCCACATCAAAAGGTGGTCAAAGTCAACAAGTGCTCATCATGAAGAATGAATCTTTTTCATGACCTTTTTACATTTGCAGGATGAACTGTTAAAGTGCTACACTGTAGTTCAAGAACTTGTGATGGATGGTTATGAATCAATGCTAAGCTGCAAAACCCCCATTAATGTTCTTGATTTGGACTACTCAAGCTCAGAGGATACGCACAGTAAAACTGATGAAGATGAAAAGAGAGGATTAAAGAGGCTGAAGATGAGCACTTTTGGCAAAACCCCTTTTCAGCTTTCTTAGATTATCCGATTTGTAGAGAGAGAAAGACTATATTTGAGAGGGGGGGGGAGGAATTGATATGCTGTTGGTTTCTTGGAGAGTGACACAAAGCCATGCTTTGGCTTAGCTGTGTGCATAGAAAAAAGTAAAAAATGATGGGGAATTGGAGGGAAGCAAAGGAGAAAGATCTTGTGCCATTAAAGAAAAGGAAAAAAGAAAAATTAAAATAAAGGAAGAGAGAGAGAGAGAGAGAGAGAGAGAGAGAGAGAGAGAGAGAGAGAGAGAGAGAGAAAACAACATAAAATGTATTTTTTTCTTAATTATGTTTGATTTTGTTGGAAAGACAAAAGAGTAATTGGTTTCTTATTATTCGTATTTGTTTTTTTTATTAAGTCAATTAATATTATTTTAAAAATAGCAAATACGAAATAACAATTAATGATTTTTGACCAAATATGAAAAGAAAAACACGCTATACTCGATAGTCCTTATAACTCATTACTATAATGTGGTTGTTATAAACGATAATTTATTTCTATTAAAAACAAATACAATAATCAAAATCTTGAAAGACAAGACAAAATTGAACATTGAAAATAGTTGTGATTGTTGGGTCGCGTCGGGGAATTAAATTTGTATGCCTTCCATGATGGGCCGGGTCGGAAAAGTATCAAAACAATAGAGGTTATCTTGATTTAGGCTCGCATAAAAAAACCGATTCAGATTCCGAACCGGTCACTGAACCGGTAAACCGGTTCACCATGAACTGGTCCACTATGAATCGAATCGATTCAAAAACCGAACCACCGGTTTGAACCCGTTCGAGACTTTAGATATTGAAATCGGTTTAGAACCGGTTTTATAACCGTGAATCAGTTTAGAACCGGTAGTCAAACCAATCAAATCGGTTTAGAACCGATTGAACCAGTTTAGATAGGTTCGAGTTTAATAATAACGGAACCGGTTTACTATTCATGAATCGGAACCGAACCGGTTTGGTTTGAAAAAAAAACGGTTTGCTCACCCCTATCCTGATTAGTATCAACTTATAATGATAAATATTTTTATGTATGATTGATTGAGTAGATTTTTAAAGAATATAACAAAAAGAAGTCAAAATAAGATGTTAAAATACACACTGCAATATAATTAAATTGTTATGTCTTACGCTTAATGTATTTAAGCGTGCCGGGGTTTCCGCTAAGTAAGAGGTACCTGTTAAATTTTTGACTGACCCGACAGAAAGAAGATCAACCCTCAGAATGGCTGACATTTTGATTTTTGGATGGGTCTAAGAAAAACACGCATGTGTGGACCTTTAAGGGGTATCCCTTATCGTGGGTTTGAGGGCTGAGGGTTTCACAGCGGGACAGACTGCTTTAAAAGCAACTACAGACAAAATCACCATTTGCATTTGATACGTTTAGTTTCTTCGCATCGGATGCAGTAGAGTTTCTTAATATAATTCAACGGATCATGTATAGTAATGTAATATCCCCTAGATTTTTGGATGTAGTCTTTAAAAGAATTAGTTTTACCATACAAAAAGACTTAACGGTACAGTTTATTGCCCGTTTGATATCTCATTCATTGTACGATAATAATTAAATGAGCAATGATAGACAAAATTGGTAGTGTAAAGTACTAAAAAAAATTACGCTTAACCCACATTTCCTATCCAATATTAGAACGGGTTGTAGTATGTATAATTTCATTACGGTCAATGTCCCAAGTCAAAATCTCAGATTTAAATATTTGGGTATTAATTTAAAGACTAGGCTATGTTTTTTGGTATATATTATTTCCTACCATGTGACATTATTGTCATATAATGCCAGAAGTATACTTTGATAGTCATCACTACTTGATGTGTTGTTTAATGGTAGCAATAACATAATTAAAAACTTTAAAGATAATGAGTACATGGTAAGCAATCATTATATTAACTTTTAGTGTGAGTTATACAGGTTAGGTGAAAAAATGATGTTAACTAAAACGTCTAATATTGTTTATCACTCAAGCCTTCTGTAATTTCCGATTACTCGCATTTTCCAACAATTCAAAGTGGAGTGAATAAAATAATTGTAGAGTACGTCACTATATATATATATATATATATATATATATATATATATATATATATATATATATATATATATATATATATATATATATATATATATATATATATAAAGAGAGAGAGGGGGGGGGGAGAGAGAAAAAAAAAAAATTCAATAGAGATGTATAATTATTGGTTTCTTTAAGGAATCAAATCTTTTTTTTTTTTAATTTCTAAAGCTTATTATTTATCGAAAAAAAAAATTTTAAATATCTAAATTCATATATTAATATTGTGAATGTGAAAAATACTTATCGGATTCACAGTGTGAATCTGGATTTACATTGTGAATTTTAAAAAATTCATATTGTGAATTTTGACGTAAAAAAAATCGAATTTCATATCATTGACAAAAAGATAAAAAGTTATGAATTTCTGTATTTTTACTTTTTTTTTTTTTTGAAAAAAATAAATTTTAAAAGTTGAAAAAAAGATTGGTTCTTTGGTTTCTTAGTTAATTATGATTTTCTATTGAACCTCTCTCTCTTTATATATATATATATATATATATATATATATATATATATATATATATATATATATATATATATATATATATATATATATATATATATATAAGTTCAATAGAAAAACATAACTATTGGTTCTCTAAGAAACCATTTTTTTTTTTTTCAAGTTCTAAAGCTTATTTTTATATCGAAAAAAACTAACAATATCAAAATTCATAGTATAACATTGTGAATGTTAAATTTATTTTTTAGATTCATCGTGTGAATTTAGATTCACATTGTGAATTTTCAAATATTCAAATTGTGAATTTGACGATTTTTTTTTTCGAATTTGATATTATTGGAAAAATGATAAAAAATTATTAATTTCTGTATATTTTTTTTTATAAAGAATAAATTTTGAAAGTTTAAAAAAAGATTGGTTCATTGGTTAAGTATGGTTCTTCATTGAACCTCACCCTATATATATATATATATATATATATATATATATATATATATATATATATATATATATATATATACATATACACACACACACACATATATATATATATATATATATATATATATATATATATATATATATATAAGTGAATATGTGGCTGTTATGTATCTAAGCTTAGATATAGAATCTTTTAAACGATATAGTTTTAAACAAAACAAATTCAGTTTCTTTTAGTTTTACACCTGCCGCACTCCGCCCCGGTATGGTACCCAAACTCTCCCATGAACAGTTAACAATCCCCGACTATCATAATCAAAGGAAGCTTCTCGGCCCACGATCCTCTCATACTTCTGTCTCTCCCCCTTGAGGCCCTCGACCTGTGTCTCCCTGATCTGCTCCAACAATGGAGTAATCACTATCATTCTCAGGCATATATCCCTGATCGGGGCTGCCGTTGCCTTGCAACTCAGAGCGTCGGCCACTATGTTGGTCTTCCCCGGGTGATAAAGGATCTCATGCTCGTAGTCCTTCACCGCGTCTAACCACCGCCGCTGCCTCATGTTCAGATTCGGCTGGTCCATGAGGTACCTCAGACTCTTATGATCCATGTAAATGGTACAACGGACCCCACAAAGGTAATGTCGCCAAATCTTGAGGGCAAACACCACTACCCTCAGCTCTAAATCGTGTGTCGGGTAGTTAGCCTTGTGAGGCTTCAACTGTCTAGAGGCATAAGCTATCATATGCCCCCGCTGCATCAACATTGCTCCCATACCTGTGATTGAGGCATCACAATAGACTACAAAATCCTCTACACCCTCCGACAGGGTAAGAATTGGCGCCTCGCACAGCTTCCGCCTGAGGGTCTCGAATGCCGCCTGCTGCTCAGGCCCCCAACAAAACACCACCGACTTCTTAGTCATTCAGGTGAGTGGAACTGCTATCTTGGAAAAATCCTGGATGAATCTCCTGTAGTAACCTGCCAATCCCAAGAAGCTCCAAATCTTTGATGGAGACCTTGGGACTTCCCACTGCATCACGACCTCGATCTTGGCTGGATCTACTAGAATACCCTTCTGGTTGACGAGGTGACCAAGGAATTGCACCTCGCACAACCAGATTTCGCACTTAGAAAACTTCACAAAAAGTCTCTCCCTGATCAGCGTCTCTAGCACCTCTCTCAGGTGTTCCTCGTGCTGCTCCTGAGTCTTGGAGTAAACCAAGATGTCATCAATGAACACTATTACAAACCGATCTAGCATGGGTCTGCATACGCGGTTCATGATGTCCATGAACGCGTTTGGAGCGTTAGTGAGCCCAAACGGCATCACCACAAACTCATAATGACCATAGCGGGTCCTATAGCGGTCTTATGGACATCCTCCCCTCTGACCCGCATCTGGTGATATTCGGAGCGAAGATCAATCTTGGAGAACCAAGATGCGCCCTGAAGTTGGTCAAACAAGTCATCTATCATCGGGAGTGGGTAACGGTTCTTCACCGTTACATTATTCAGCTCTCGATAATCAATACACATACGGTGCGATCTGTCCTTTTTCTTCACAAATAGGATCGGGGATTCACATGGTGAACTACTCGGCCCGATAAAACCCTTATCTGGCAGCTCCTGCAGCTGCATAGACAACTCCTGCATCTCCAGAGGAGCCAACCGATATGGTGCTTTGGTTATCGGAGCCGTACTGGAGACCATGTCAATCCTGAACTCGACCTGTCTCTCAGGAGGTACCCCAGAAAAATCATCCGTGAATACATTCGGGTACTCACGCACCACTGGTATATCGCCAACAGTCGCCTTGCCCTTTTCCGAGGCATATAAAACATAGGCGACATACCCCGCACAACCCTACTGGAAGTATCGTCGTGCTCTCGCTGCTAAACAAAGAATCGGTCCTCGATGTTGCCTCTCGCCTTGAATCACTAGCTCTCCCCCACTATGAGTGCGAATCCTCACTAACTACAGTTCACAATCAATCACTGCCCCATTGGGGCTCAGCCAATCCATGCCCACAATGACCTTTTCCCCTTGCATAGGAAGAGGAACCAGGTCTACCGGAAACCGCTCATCGAATATCTGCAGCGAGTATTGATGGGTTTTGAGCATTCTAACACTTCCTAAGTGTACATTCAACCCTAATAAACATCGGATCTATGTTTGTCTAAGATACATGCAAATAATTATTTTTCCAAG